TCTATGATGTTATCTCTTGGGGAAATTTTGGTCCTGACTCAGTGTGTTGTCTTAGCAGCTCAGTGTGGGGATTGTCAGCATGAGGGATGCCTAACAAAGGACCAGACACTTGGGTGGTATGAAGAGGTTTTAACACCCTGAAAATGCATTTATGTAGCAAGGTTTGGTATCCTAAGCTAGCCCCACAAATAGTGCTACAGGCTCCCCGCATACAAGCTAACATTAGAACGATGACAAGGACTAATTGAAAAGTGATTTCATCTCACTCTCCATCTCTCTGCCTTTCCCCATCCCAGATTATTCTCTGGCATGACTCTCCCTGGCCCAAAGTCCCATAATCCTTGTTGCCTATGGGTGCAGAAGCTTCAAGGTTTCTTTCTTAGAAACCACATACCTGCATCAGCATGAATGAGAACCTTTCTCAGCAGCCTGAGTTCCTGTCTGAAGAAGCCCTGGCTCCTGAAGGCTCTGATCAAATCATCCCAAACTGGTCCCCCCCTGCTTGGGACAATGAAATGATTGTCTCTAGGTGGCCATGAGAAGCACACCCTTTTGGATTTAAAATCATGGATGTGAAGTTACAAAAGGATCTTGAAACTCATGTTTGCAGCTCCTTCTTACGCAGATGAGAAGACTCAAAGCGAGGCATCTCATACCAGGTTACTGGAGACTTAGGTCTTCTCAGCTCCAGTTCAGTATTCTGGTCCCTGCAAACTATAGGATGAGAGTCACAGTGAGACTGTGATGGAGTCCCATCTGTCTTCTACTCTCTTTCTGCATTCTTAATCTTTCTAAACCGTGGCTCTCTTGGCTGTTCTGGTTAATAAAACCATAGGTGACTTTCCGTTAGCTTTGAACTTCTCCAACTGGCATTGGTAGCTTTCACAGTTGACATCAATCTGCGTTTTTAGCCTCCACCCTCCACCCCTCCTCTCCCTAGCCTCACCCTGCAGGGTAGCCAGACCTCCTGCCGTCCTGCGAACGCACATCAGCCAGCTGTTCTTTTGTACATGATGCTCTCTTCATCTGGAATTGCCTCCCAACATTTCTCCCCATTTTCTCCCCTCCCATGGGTTTTCATGCCCAGCCAAATTCCACCCTGTCACTCAGCATGCTATTGCCATTTAGAGTACTTCTGCATGGCCACATCTTCAGTTTCTGATTAGATCAAAAGCTCCTTGTGAGCAGGGGCCACGTGCCCCAGTTCGCTGAATAGGGCACAGACAGCACGCTGCAAAATCTTGGTGGTGTACCGGGAGTAAATGGCACCCTTGTTTCCAGGCAGTTACGCAACTTGGGAGATGGGAAGTTTGTGGCAGGGAAGAAGGGGCATGCTGGACCTTAAGGCAGCCTTACCGTACAGGAGGTCTCGGGCCACAGGGTGGCGATGCCTGTGGTGCTCACCCGACCTGTGGCATCTTCGGTTGACTGTGTCAGCTCCTGTGTGCTTGCTTTAATCAAACACTAAGTGAAGGCTCAGTCTGAGCCTCATCTGGAGCCCAGAAGGCCTCGGACCAGAGCAACTATTTCATCGCCTCCGTATTTGCTCCTTTTGGGTGTCAGGGCAGGCTTGCATTGATCAAGCAGTTTCTGAGAATTTCCTCTTCCTGAGATATTCTGCTGACGTCCAGACCAACGTGATTACATTGATGTTCCAAGCTCTGCTCTCAGCCTCATCATGATAAAATTTGCATTTACTCTACCCTGTGCAGTTTTTCACTGGTTGACCCAGGCCAGATATAGCATAAGTAAGTAAGTACCTGGTTTAGGATTCTAGCTCTCCCATGTCAGATTCTGCCAGGAGAGGAAACAAAGCTGATGAAGAAGCTATCCTATGATTTCTTGAATCTAAAAAATGACAGTCACCTTCACTGGCAGGCCTGGTGCCCTCCTTCCTTCACCCTCTGTGCTGAGCCTGGTCTGGGCAGAATCAGGATACCACACTGTCCAGAGGGACGGGCATGAATAACCCACAGTGAGGTTCGGGGGTCTGGCCTGGAAGCTGAGGCCAGAGATTCTGTGTTCTCAGTCCACCTCCTGTGGGAGCATTTTGTCAAGGGCCCAGCTGCTCCTGTCCTTCCCTTGGTACCATCATTCCTAGAACCCTGGAACAGCACAGCTTCCTCAAAACAGGTCTTAGACTGCCGACGGGTATAGGTTTCTTTGGCAGCTGATGAAAGTGGTCTGGAATTAGAGTGATGATGGTGGTGAATATCCTGAAAATGGAACCATACACTTCGAAAGGGTGGATTTTAGGGCATGTGAATTACATCTCAATTTTATAAGAAGTCATGGAATCCTAAGACCTTGTGCAAAAAATTAAAATAGTGCAGCACCAAAACTCCTAAAAGACCATATGAACTTTCTACTCTGGTGTTTCCTCTCTGCATGTTCAAAGGTCATGTCCTCTGATGTGTGTGTTGTGGGTGAGGGGATCTGATAGAAGTCCGTCCATCTTATTCCCTGTTCTGTGTCAGGCTGGGGTGACCTTGTCCAGGTATTTGTTTCCACAGTTAAAGCAGAGGCAATAAGTCTGACCTACTTGATGAAGCTCTCCTAGAAAATAAGAATCTGGTTTAAGAGCTTTAGGCGTATGAGGTGCTAGATTCCTTCTGAGAGCTACCGGAAGGGCTGAAGTGGCACCCAGTGCTTGTGGAATAAATCCCACGCTGGGTCAGAGCCGGTGTGGGTAGGAGACTGGAAGCGTGTTGCTCTGGGTGATTTAATTATGCCATTAGGTGCCCTATTAGGAGCCGTTACTGCTTGTGATTTTTATGTCTTGGTGAGAAGAATGTGTTTGGTTATTACTGCGACGGCAGGTGAGGGCCCTGTGGGAGGAGGGGGAGTTTCCCCGGAGCAATCTTCCTGATGCTTTATGGGAAGCCTTGATGAGTGGTTAGAAAGGGTGAGCCTGGGCAGGGGGTGTGATTGGAGCGCTTGCAGTAAAGCGTCCAGGGCTGCTGCTGGGCTCAGTGGGCATCCTGGGAGGCACACCCAAGGGCTTCTCTTGACCTGGGAATCTGGAAGAGGAAAGGTGAACCCTGGAAGCCCATGTCCACTGACTCACTTAAGTAGTGAGTAGGAGCTGTGCTTGCAGAAAACCAAGATACGGATACAGGGGATCTTCCGTTCCCCCCTCCGCCCTCTGTAGCTTCCTGGATACTGTGCCCATCACATCCCAGAGCATGGACTCCCAGAGTTTCCCATCCCAGTGGGATGTCTGGGTCTCTGGGCTATTAGGGAGAGGGGTTAGGGATGGAGGGGAGCTCTGATCACCCTGTCTTTGCTGCCCTCTCATCCTTCATCACACTCCCAAGTTTCCTCTTCTGCTGGGTCTGTAGGATGGTAGGACAGGATAGAAAATCATATCGGTGTCTTGTTGGGACAGGCTGATGACCTGTGGCTCTACAAACCCTTCTCACTGACCTACCCCGAGAGGACCAGTTGATATTCTTCCTCCTCCCTGATTCTCCTCTTCCCACCTCTCTACCCACTAAATGGAAGTCCATTCACCATTCAAGGTCCAACATCAGTATCATCTTCTGAGGAGGCTGCTTTCTGCCCCTCTTCTACTGTCTACCCAGGCAAGATTAGGCTTTCATTCTTCTGTGTCCCCCTAAAACTTAGTTATGCATATGGTATAACACTTGCCACTCATAGGTTGCTTTGGGAGAACTTGTTGACAGCCTCTTTAAGAGTACTATCCTAGTGCTTGGTGAATAATACTTGCCCAATATTTGTCTGTTAAATAAATTAATGAATAAATATATAAATAAATGAAGAAAGAATATCATTTATGCCCTCCCACAAATACTAAAAAGATATTTATAAACTCCATAAATATTTTAAATTGCTTTCTTCTTTATGGTGTAGTACTTGATGAGACTACTATTCTGAATGTGTCTTATTAAATCTTTTTTATGTCTATAGAATTGTTATTATTAGTATTTTTTTGGTTAAAGGTGATAAATTTTGAGAGAAGAAGCCATGCCTTAAAAAAAAAAAAGAAATATTATAAAGCAATGCTTTGCCAAAGTGTATTCAGCAGAATATTCATTTCCTAGGATGATAACAGTTGTTAAGGTAAAAATGATGTCGAGACCAAATGAAGTTTAAGAAAGGCCGGCTTGATCAGGTCTCTCTTGTGGGATGTCTCAAAGCTTTGAGATGGGGTTGTTTAGAAATATTCGCAAGAGGGACATATAGCTTAGCACCTACAGTGTGAAGTGCATAGAGGTTTCTGGTATTTTGTTTTTAGTTGTTGATTACAGTCCAGGGCCTTGATCTAGAGACCTGAGAGCAGGTAAGTGCTTGTGCCTGTGATAAGGGCCCACTGCTTCACCATCCTCTCCACTCACACCACCTCTGCTCTGCAAAAGTGAAGACAACAATTAAAGGGAATTAAAACATTATCAGCCATAGCAAGTATCAAACATCTCTAGTGGACTAGGCAGCAATAACTGTGATTTTAGAAATAATCTGCCAGCCCGAGATGCTCTGCAGTAAACTCCCAGGACTGTTCCATAAGTGCCAGTTCTCTGCACAGTAATTACCAACGCTCTCCTTGGTAGATTCACTCATGTCTAGGAGTAATTGCTAGGGGACTGAGATTTTCAAATTTACACGAGGCAAACAACCTTGTATTTACCTCGAGGGGTTATCAGGGTATTCAAACTGTGCTGGGTAAAAGATACTATTGATCATAGAAACATGGGGAAGAACTTGAATTTTCACCTTAGTGTTTTTCTCAATGGGTGAGATCCTGGCTCACTAGATTATAGTGCAAAGAATTGTGGGGGACAATTCTCTTTCTCTTGGTATCTTTTCCTTTCCTTGAGATTTGGAGCAGTCATAAGCCTGATGTAACCCAAGTTGGAATCCGTTGTTGTCTTTAGGTGACACTGGCTGATTGGTACCCATGTCTAGGAAGAAGGTGAATAAGAGAGTTTGGACTGGTGCAGTTGGAATTCTGACCTGTGCCCTTGGTGTCTGTCCTCTAGAGATCTCAGGGAACACAGAGGACATCCCTCTGGTGCGCTGGAGGCAGCAGTGGCTGGAGAATGGCACGCTGCTTTTTCACATCCATCACCAAGATGGTGCCCCAAGTCTCCCTGGACAAGAACCAACCGAAGAACCCCAGCATGAGTCAGCAGAAGAGGAGCTGAGGATCCTGCACATCTCAGTCATGGTAAGAGCAGCTAAGGCCATGGCTTAATGTCACCTTGACATTAAGAGTCTTGGTGCAAAGGTATAGCTCTCTCAGAACCAACTCCATAGTGATGAGTGGTCATGCTAATAAGTAAATGCCCCATTTATGGGAAATGTCTCCCCTGTGCTCTAAGTAAAACTTGCAATTATTTCTATAGCACCATTGCCCAACTCTTCTCTCTAGGAACATGCCTAGACATGGAGTAGCTTTTAGAAACCAGAGACAATGTCAGATGGGTACCATGGATTGTCTTAGAAAGGAATTATTCAGAATAGATCAGAATATCTTATGGTAGCTGCTCCGTAAGTGTTTGCCAAATGACTGAATTGCCAAGCTGCTTGCTGCTACCAAGCTCCCTATTCCAGCCAGGAGAAAGTCAGCATCCTGGCCTCCTCTCCTTTTATGATAAAGGACATGCCAAGAGATATTTGCCCCTTCCACTAGCCCAGCTCAGAAATTTCACTGTCAGCATCTCTTCTCCTATTCAGAAATTTGAGGCCTCAGGAGAATTGGAAGATTCCTCCTAAACCTCTAGGAACTTGTGTTTGGGAATTTCATGAGGAAGTACATGCTGCAATGGCAGGCAGGGGTTTTGTTCAGTGGTATCTTGTTCACTTATGTATCCTGAGCACTTAGAGCAATATTTGTGGAATAAATGAGTGAATTTCCCAGTGGAGATAGAAAATACCTGTCTCACTTGGTGGTATTTTATGTCTTGGTAAAACCAATGTATCATCTGCTCCTGTGGAGGGCATGGGCTATTTCACTGTTTGGAAACTCAATGGAGAACCAATTTAGATGTTGGTCTACACTTTAATTCATCTATTACTCTGGTACCACCACTGAATGCTGCTTCATTTTGTGTGTCAAGCTGGGAAAACACTGAGCACATTTTAGATATATAAAAATTTCCATTATCCAAATATTTGGCCTTGGAAATCTCCCCATAAAATATCTCATAAAATCTCAGAATGTAAGCCCTTCCATTGCTTCCTTAACCTGCATCCCCACGAATAACTGGCTTGCTAGATTCCCTGCTTACACACAAGCTACTTTATTTAAACTGTATAGTCAAGAAAAGAGCCATTGGAGAGCAGATAGTAAACCTCAAGGTCCAGCGATACCAGAAGGCAGACAGGTAAATGAAACTGCTCTGTCTCGCATTTACATAGTAATTGAGGTTTATAGCATGGGAGTTATACTTACACATCTTTAATCAAAGACCAACGTCTCCTCTCTTAGGGAAGGTTGTCTTCTTCAATATAACTTGTAGTTTCCAGGGAGTGGTGATATTAGGCAGATCAGCCGAGTCAGCCCGGGTGTTGACTGTTGTGCAAGATGTAGAGACCACATTGTCTTCACATTTATAATATGATGTGACTCAAAAGAAGGGCACCATGGTGGACATCCCACCAGCTACCCACAGCCTCCCGTCAATGTGGGAAGCAGTCATTATCGTGGACAGTTTTTGTTTTGTTTTGTTTCTTCTTGTCCAAGATCATTTCAAAGAACTAGTCTTTGGCACACCAAAGACATGTTCAGGGTGAAGAAAACTGTACAGAGAATCCCAAGAACTAAGTTGGGTGTGACTGTGTCTGAAAGACCCTGACTTCAAGGGGCTCAGACAGGAAATGCATCCAAGGGTGTGTCTAATGGGAGCTGGGGGAGAGGGTGAGGATCTGTGGAGAGCCAGTCTAAAGCTTGCCCTGATGACTATGTCTTATCTTCAGTGCAGCACGGAGCTCACCTTCTATCCTCAGAATGAGGTGCTCCCATAAGTTCTCCAGAGAAGCACGTGTGCGTGTGTGGTGGCAGGGTGGGGGGCTGTACACACGTTTTGGGGGTGGATGTCATTGAACATAGAAGTGTGCTGACCAAGGATGCCAAAGGATTGGAGGAAATAGATTGTGCCCTTAAAATATAAGAACCCCTATGAAAAGCTGTGCATTACTAGTGCTTTTTTTTTTGAGGCCCCCTTGGGCAGGAATTAATGGACAGTGGACGATGAAATGGACAGAGGAAAAAGTTAGTCTTGAAGCTGCCCCTGAGATCTTCCCTTCATATGCTCCTGGTCACCCAAGGCAGATCAACAAGGTTGCTCTGTTTTACAAATTAAACGGAAGAGATTATTCTTCCACTTTATGTTACTTTATTCTATGTTACTTCAACTAAGCTGGAGGGGCAAAGGCTGAAAGGGCATGTGTGAAGGGTGAAGGTGCGCAAGTCTTATGTTTGTTTCTGGATTGAACTCTTGGATGTGGATAGGGTCACATCTCCATGAAAAATTCAGGAGAGCTTTTGACTTCTGCAAGGAAACAGGACTCCAGAGTGAAGATGTGACCCCTTCCTCCCGTCCTCAACCAAGACGTCAAGTCAGTGGCGTCTCCTGCAGCCCTGCCTGCCTTCTCCGCATACTCCATTCCCATTCCGTGCCACACTGCCTCTCCTGTCCTTAACATTCCAGGCTAGAAACAGATTCAAAGGCTGAAGTTGTGTAACTGCCTTCAGCTTAAAAATCAAGCCTGAGGGTATCTCATTTGAAGGTGCCGTTCCTGGAATCTCTGATGGCTTCTTCTTAAGAAACTCAGGGATTGGTAGACTTCATATTATCCTCTTTATACCACATTCTGTGGAGGTAAAGTCGGCAGCCATTTGCGGTATCTGGAATACCAGCGTTATAAATGTCAGAAGACGGCAAATTCCTTCAACTAGCAACAGTGTGTTGGGCAGTGAAATGCACTTAAATGAAATCTTATTACCCAACGCCTGTTAGTTATGAAATAACAATAGCGGGGCTGTTAGTCATTAGCTGTAATGATCAATATTGATGCAGTTTTCAGTTTGGATCTAAATAGCATGATTCAAAAAAGAGAAAAGTTAAGGTGATTATGAAAACATGAATACAACCAGCCTTTTTCTCTCTTGTTAAGAAAATGTATATTTAAAAGCTTAACTGATAAGCCTAAATATTTCCAATATGTGCTGAGGGAATTAATGGTTCTGTGAAAACCTTCAAGTTGACATTTCTCTCATTTTGTGTTTACATTTTTCTCATCCATATTGCTTCAACGCAGGGAGCACTGTTTATTTTTATATTTTGCATTTACTATCTTTTGCTTTAAACCCAAAATATAAGTAATGAGAGAATGAAATGCAAAGGAAAACCTTTTTTTGTATCCCTGTGACACTCTATGAATGAGAATTGGTAAGTCCTCTCTTACACTGTGCCCAAGATAAATATACCATCAGCAAAATCATGGGCCTGCAGAAAACCAATACCAGCTGGCAACCTGGCAATTTGAAACTTTGAAAACCCTTTTGCTTTTCTTATTTTTCAATCACATCCTAAAATTTGTGAATTATTTTTTCCCAAAGAGGTACTACGTCCCTTCCTGAAATCTTATATTATTGCTTTGAGGGTCAAACAATGTATATTAACCTCCTGCGCAATCCAAACTTGGCTGAACAGATTTCGAATTTTGGAAGATAATTGACTTTTAAAACTACAAAAGTCCACAAGGTTATACTTCTGCAAACTCTTGAGTAAGTGAAAGGAAATTCATCAAATGAAAATTGATGCAGGTTTAAACCAGAATCAAGGAATTCTTCAGTTATAAGCAAATTGTTTACTCCATAGAGGATCAGGTTTTACTATGAATTTAGATTAGATAGTCAGCCTGTGTGGATTTAAATTTCCATATTGTACTTTTGCTAATTTACCATATGATCTGCATTTTTCTTCTTAAAAGTGTGCCAAAGAATTTAATGGTGCATAATAGAATTTTAATGTATCATCTATATTTCACTTTTGTAATTAAAGATGACAATGTTAATAGACTTCCTATATGTATATAGGTTGGTTAAGTACATTTTTCACAGCACGTAGCCTTTCAAAAATGCTTTGCTTTGATGTGTGTGTATGTGTGTGTAATTTTTTTTTTTTGAAATAGAGATAACTGCCACTGGTACATGATACCTTTTGTAGTTCACCCTTCTTAGGCACACTTCACAATTGTGGGAAAAAATAATCTTGAGTATTTGTCTTCCCCCATCAGTATCTTGTGACTAGAACCCATCCACGAAGGCGAGGGCTGCTCAGGGCAACTAGCCCAGTGGCCAGTGTCTGCAGGTCCTGTGGCTTTCGATTGCTGGCTCCTCAGGTGTCCTCAGGATCCTTGCTTCTGGGGGCCCAGGTGAGCCCAGGACACAGAGTTTTCTTTTGGGCAAAAAAATGTAGAGAACAAGGTTCAGGGATGAAACTGACCACAGGTGCTCTTGTAGAATCCCAGAGTCCAGGCAGGAGAATGGGCATGCCGGGGCAGTTTCTTCTGGGAGGGTAACACTACGGGGTCAGCTAGTACCAAGCCCACAGATCACACCTAGGGCTGCGTTTCCAGGACTGCAGGCAGCTTTGTGCCTGAGGACCGACCCTTCCTTTATCATCCTTGACTTACTGGTTCGTCCCTCTTCAAGTTCAGTGCAGAGCTGCCTAAGTATTGTGTTATCGTGACCAGAGCTGTCTTCATTTCATTCCTAAAGCTCCGCTACTTCTAGGGCAGGCAAGAGCAGTTCCAAGCCTGGTCATTGCTCTGCACCACCAAGACCATCATCATTCAGTGTCTGTGGACACCAGCAAGTGCGCGAGATACTTTTTCTGGCAACATGTTTTGCCTTCAGCAAATTAGTTACAAAAATTCATTAGCTAATTCATTAGTCAAGGCCACTTTTGCATCTTTATTATCAATTGATATTTGTTTAGTTCAACTGAGGATGCCCTAGTTTATCAGGGCAATCCCTCTGCTCTTTAAGAACAAATGGAGGGGTTCAGACGTGTCTTAGGTAAACACTAAGAACAGAATTACAGTCATAAATGGGGAGGGACAAAAGACAAGTCCTGATTCAGTTCAGGGAACCTTTCTAGTAGTTCAAGCCATCCATCATGGGGCTGGACTGACTCTCTGGCCATCCGGCCTGCTTAC